ATGGTCAGCTACTCCTGAACATGAGGCCTGCCTGGGTAGTGGTTGACGACCCAGTGTTGCTCCACTGGAGAAAACTGATCTTCTCTCCGACAGCAGGTATCCGTCAGTCATTCACCTTTACCCTAGTGGCTAGGTTTTCATTCATTTGTTCATTCATTCATTCTCGTTTTTTAAAATATAACAATAAAACATAAGAAAAAAACCCAAAAACTATCACTTAAAAGTTGGACAAAGCAGATCAACAGAAGGAAAGGAGCCCAAGCAAAGATGTAAAAATCAGAGACCTACTCATCTGCACACTCAGGAATCCCATAAAAACACTCAACTAGAAGACCTGGTGTCTCAGGAGACCTGGTGCAGACCCATGCAGGCCCTGTGCATGCTGCCTCAGTCTGAGTCTGTATGAGCTGGCCTGGATTCAGATCCCAGCTCTTAACACTCTGCCTCCTCTTCCCTGGGGTTGCTGAGCTCTGAGGGGAGGGATTTGATGGAGACATTCCATTTAGGGCTGAGTGTTCCAAGTTTTCTGTAATGTCCGACTGAGGGTCTCTATATTTGTTCCCATCTGCTGCAGGAGGAAGCTTCTCTGCTGATGGCTGAACAAGGCACTATGAATAGCAGAATATCAGGAGTCATTTTATCGCTACATTTCTTTTTCCCTTTTTAGACTAGTATTATTTGGTTTTAACTTAAACCCCTGGGCTATCTAGACTCAGGTTCATGGTCACCCAGGCAGTGTCAGGTATGGGTTTCATCTCATAGAGTGGGCCTTAAGGGTCAGTTCAGTTACTGGTTGGTTACTCCCGCTAGCTTTATACCACCATTACCCTAGCTATCTTGGAGATAGCATACCATCGTAGATAAAGGGTTTGTGGTTAGCTTGGTGCTGATAGGCTCTTTTGGGAGAGTGCAAAGGATCTTCCCGTAACAAAGACTGAAATGTAGGGAATGAAGGCTCTATGTAGCCACCAGCTGGACATGCCCATGTTCAATTAGTTCTGCGTGTGTTGTCTTCAGCAGTGGGGCCTTGCTGTCTGTTTCTGGAGAGCAACCTATAACAAACATCCTGGTCTTGGTAACATCCTAGGTTAAGAGATTTCCAAGGCGTCCCTTTGGCCAACAACTCAATTAGATGTAACCCAAACCTGGTACTGCTTCTTTTAGTGACATGAGATGGCCAGTTGGGACTCTGTCTCCTTATGGGGGCCACTCTTATTCAAACCATCCCAGAGGCCACAGCCTGACTACTCCATCCCTTTCCTGGGTGCTTGCCTCTACACAGCTCAGGTCTCCCTTGTTAAAATTTTAACAAGGGCCTCAAGCCCTCAAATAACCTTTGTCTTACATGTCACTTGCATACATTTTTAAAGGCTGATGACGTCCAGATTTGACGCATGGCTCCTACTTCCCTCTCTGCCTGTGGTTTTGGGTGTGCACTTCCCTTCAGGCCCTCCAGCTGCCAGACCCAGTGAGGTGACCACAGTCCATACTGTCTCACCTCTCAGCACATACGACAACCTTCATGGTCCCTACACTTCATCAGACTGACTTTGACTGCCAGAGAGGCCCCATGACTCCTCCTGGTTTGTTTCTGCTCTTTTCTAAACACACACACACACACACACACACACACACACACACACACACACACACA